TGGCACAGGTGATGAAATACTTTGAGAGAATTACCCTTGGAAACCTCATTACTGAGCTAGAAAAACAGTCAGTTCAGACAGGAAATCTGAGGATCTGCAGGGAAATCTGTACATCAAATTATTCAATCCCAGGGCTTGCACAACAGATCCAGACTCAAGAACAGCTATTTTATTCCCTTGAAAATGGCTGCAAACAGCATGACTTTACCGGTTCCCCAGTTTTTTTAGTTTCTGTTGAACGAAAAACCCAGCCAGGAAAAGCTGTACCATCAGAGTCAGTTAATTATCATGTAACAGTAGATGGTGCCACCTATAAAATGCTGACCTTCCACTGAATGCCAGTGTTGTTTGCTGGAACTGAACAGTATCTTTTAAAATGCTTTCTAATGAGTGAAGTCATTGTCAAGGGTGAAGATTTATTGGGAATGCAGACTTTATATGATCTTTAAGTGTCATCCAATCATCTTCCAGCTTCATTAGCACTGGCTGTTTGTACACATGATGGGGGTTTAGCCCCTAAATTGAAATGGTGGGTATTTAATTGTGATGATTAAAAGCCCACCATTGAAATTTAGGGCCTTCTGCCACTGTTATGGGGCCCAATCCTTTTCTTTTTCTTCGCAAAGCCTACCTGCCTCTCTCACAGCTGGGGAGCAAGCTGCTGGTGGGTCAAGCGGCCCCTGAGCTATGGGGGGCCCTGATCCTTCCCTCCATAATGGCAGCACCCCCTGGGGCTGCCTGGGCAGGCTGCTAGTGGGCCAAGGGCTGCCGCAGCTCAGGCTCAGGGAACAGTTGGATTGGGCTAGGGGCTGCCTCCACCTGGGTGGTCCCAGGGGGTGCCACTGCCATGGAGAGAAGGACTGGGGTCCCCCAAAGCTCAGGGTCCCTGGCAGCTCACCCCCTGGGTCACAGGCAGGCTCTGCCATCAGCCTGCCTCTCCCACAGCTGGGGGGCAAGCTGTCAGATTAAAGGCTGCAATGGTACACATAGCTACGCTGCAAACTAAACTACATGGGGTTGTGGTTTAGTTTTCAATATAATAAACTCATTTAAATCGCAAAAAAAACCCCTGTGCATGTAAAGTGTGACTCAATTAAACCACAAAAATGGGCAATTTTCATCATGTGTACAAGTGCCCATAGTCAAGAATCACTGTTCTTCAGCTCATAAGCAAGCCACCACAAGGCACACAAACAGGGCAATAGGAAGAATAGAGGAAATAGATTTTGGGAGAAAAAAAATGGCTTGATTCTAAATTTGCCCCACTCAGCACTGTGAATCAGTTCGAACCTACCCCTGAAAGTTTTATGTCCCTGGTCCCATGGAACCTAAGCTGGTCATAGGAAGAATTCATGTCTAGGGATCCTGGTTTTCTCTGATTTTTAAAAATCCCCAATTTTCGGTTAAAAAAAAGTAACCCCAAATCCACATTTTTCCATGATTAAAATTAAACACCTCTCTCTCTCTCTCTCTCTCTCGATTTGGGGTTACTTTTTTTAACTGAAAATTATTCAGGTGTATAGGTTTTGGAAACAGACCACAATCTTTTGTATCCTCCCAGGGTACTTATTCTGATCTTAAAAAATGACAACATAAAATCACCAATACAGGCCCATTCTCCTCCCCCCAAAAGTGGCTCTCTGATAAGTGAATGAATGCAGAGGGAATAGAAAAATATACATAATGTTTCATCACACAGATATTTGTCCATTTGAATTTCTGTACTTCGAAAGCCTACAGTCCGTACCAGTACTAAATATTGTAGAGTGCTGTTTTTACAGCTAAAGAGTACAACATGCTTGACCTTGATGAGACAGTAGGAGTTTCTTATTTAGATTTATACAAACACAAGAGAAAGGGTGTCTTTATGTGACTGTATTGGCATAAGCCAAAATAAAGACAAATCTAACAGCAACCTACACTGCATGCATCCTGAAAGAAAAAAATTAACTAAGCATTATGGCAGCAAAACAAGAAAAAGTACTCTACCTTCCTCAGATATTTTCCTTCAACCAAACCAAACCAAAACCCCATTTCTCAAAAAGTTCCTGTGAAAGGGCTTGCATTTCAGGATGCTGTAAGCATCAGAAACTATGCTATGCCCAGTTTTGTAATGGGGTGTGAGTCTTTAGGAAAATTCCCATCCTGTCTCTTTTTCTAATGGAACAAGGACCCAACTGGAAATGCATCCCTACAAAACAAATAAAACACAAACAACATCTCATTTAATTGGCATTTTTTTTTCTTCTGGTCCTTTAATCCTCCTTTTTCTTCTTCTTTTGTGTATTTCTGAGCAAGATTTCCTTTAGCCAAACTTGCAAATACTTGAGCACACTATTTTTCTGAATTATTAGACTGCAATTATAAAAAATTACAAACTCTTCAAACAATGATTCTTCTATAAGCAAAGAAAGTTTGACCTCCCCCCAAGGACTTAGGGCACTCATTGAGTGTCCAGGGTTGGACATGGGGGAGCACCATTCAGCTCACCCCACTAACTCCTTCCCCGCAGTTACAAAGTTTGGTGTGGCACTGCACTGCCAACTCCAGTGGCTGGGCAGAGGCTGCACAGGGTATCCCCTGCTACTGCAAAGGCTGGGGGCGGGGGCGAGGAGGGGGCGGGGCAAGGAAAGGGAGGGAAGGGAATAGAACACCTTTCTGCTCCTTTCAGTTAACCCCCCACTGATACACTGACTGGTGCAGTGCTTCCCTATTTGGCATCTATGGCCAGCACAGAGCTTCCCTTGCCATGGCAAAGACTCCTGATGAGGGGGCAGGGGGATCTTGGTGCCCCCTCATAGTTAGCATCCAGAATGGGTGCCCCCTTGCCCTGTCCTAGTTAGGCTACTGCCTCCCCCACAAGGAAATACAGCAGATAATTTAATTCCACACATTTTTCCTTCTTTCATGCATTAAGGTATGTCTATATTTTGGGAAGGTAATAACATCATGCTTGGAATCCATCTCTCTAAGGCTTTTGCAGCATGTAGACTGGCCAAAAAAGATACCCATCCCTTGAAATGAAAAGGCTCGATTGCTAAAAAGGACTACTGACTGCTCAGTCCACTTTGCTGTGCAGCTGGGAAAGTGGCAGGGGTTTTTTTTGCAGTGTTTAATGGAAGTAATTTCTTGTTGATATAAACCTTCCGGCAGGCAGAAACAAATAAATGGAGCTGAACATTATGAAAAGTACATTTACCACAGTTTCTTTCAACTTTGCATTAGGAGTGAAAGAGCAAATCCTCTTTCCCCATCCACAATTTTACCTACAACATACATAATACTCATGTTACGGTGGCTTGTATTTTTCACTTTTCTATCTGAATATACCATAATGAACGATCCTTAACTGCTGAAGCCCCAAACTTTTAGTTTGCTATTTTCACTTCCTATCTGGGATCTGCTAAGCTCTGCTGGTTCAGAAGTAAATGACATGTTGAACTTTCTTAGATGAAAATTTCTCTATAAAAATTAATGTACATATCAAGAGCTATGAATATCTGGGTCATTCTTTGAATTCATCTGCTTCAGTGATTATGCATAGGTTTGAAAATCTTAGGAAAGGAATTTAAATGAGGCTTAGATGAATATTTACACCGTGGAAAATCTCAATATTTTGACGTTCAATAAATTTACTCAACAGCCACATTCCAATTTATATATGCCTAAAATAAAGTGTGTGCGTCTACACATTCATTAATGAGCCTTTGCTACTGCACATCAAGTTTAGCACCTCTAATATGAGGTACTACATAAATGTGCATTAGCCCACACTAATGCCCAGTAGCAAAGGTGAATATTTTTTGGTGATCCTTAATGCATAGTAGACTAATACTACTGTGCATTAGCATGTTTTTTGTTGTGATGCACTAATGCACAGTAGAATAGACCGCTGCGCATTATGGCATCTCGTGTAAATGTGCACAGTGTGGACTAAATTCTTTCCCTGGCTGCTCACCACAGTTTTTTACTCATTTAAGTGAACATTTAAACTCAAGTTTTAGGGTAACATATGATTCTCTATTTCTTTTGGAAGGAATGGAATTATATGTAGTCCTACTAGGGTTCTACACTTCTTTTGGGAAGGACAAGAGCCCATTTCATGACTGAAAACACTGGCCCTCTAAAACACTAGATTTCATTTGTTTAAAATACTAATCATTGGATTTATTATCCCATAAATAGCATTCTTACTTCATCATGTCCATGGAACTAGATGCAGATGGGACTGTGGGCAAAATGGATTCCTAGCAATGGACAGTTTCCCACATACTTTTGCTTTCCTCTCTATTTTCTGTCATATACATGAACTGCCTCTGTTTCACCAAAGTTCCCTATTGTATAAAGTATGCATGGGAAAATGAGAATTCTGTGAAAGTTTCTAAGAGAATTCAGTTCAGGGTGAGACCAACCCCTGCCATATATCCCAGAAAATCCCTCTTATATGCTCAATGTTTGTTAATGAAGCATAAGGAATAATGCATGTGTATCTTTTTCTGCATTAGGGAAGACCTTTTGTTAAAAAATGAAACGTGTTCTTTCTTATTGTAGCAATTCTGAATACTTGTTCTGACCACAATAAAAAAAAATCTGAATAGCTTCTCCTCTATATGATTTTTGATATAAATGGAGTAGTTAGATGCACAAGTAACTGGATTTGGGGACATGCCAGAATTATAGGTGCTTTAATGCAGGCACAAGTCTGAAGGCTTTAAACTATACAAACAATAATATTCAAATACCAGTCCTTTTATTATGTCCTTGGAAATGTTCTGTAGTCCAGAATATTTTTTTTTCAAATTTTATTTTAAATTTACCACTTCTTTTAAAACAGTATTCAACATGTTAATAAGTCTCATAATTAGGGAGTAATTTTTATCATGTTATTTAGACAAACAGCTCATGTAAGCAAAAGCTCCACAGCTTTTAAAAGACAGAACATAAGCATTAAAATACAAAACAAGACTGAAAAAGGGGTGATATTTTAGACTAAAACCTACCTGGCATGCAAATGGATGAGTGTGATTGAGGTCCCATTGGGAAGATACTATGTCAACAGATTTTTCAGCCATATTAAGCAAATTCATCCAGCCTTGGAAAAGAGACAAATGGGATGGTGCACTGTCTGAATAGTTGATACCTTCAGGAATATTTTCCACAAGAACAACCCTGAGAAAAGATAGAGAAAAAATAAAAACATTTAGCAAAGCTACTTACCGTTTTTATTCTCCATTTTTTGCCAAGGTCATGTTCATTTAGGGGTCTTCAGGCCTGATCTAAGATGTACTTCAAAACCTACAATCCTGCAACTCCGTGAAGTCACTAATTGCTATACATACCACTTTTCAGCATCAGGCCCTTAATGCCCATATAGTACATGCAGAATGGAACAATTTTAATGCAGTACAACAAATGAGGTTCGCATAATTTATGTCAGATTTGAGTCCACAATATGCATCAATGAATACATCTATTATGAATCACAAAAATAATAGATGTAAAAGATCCAGCATGGTACAGATCTATCTTAGAACTTATACATCTGTCACTGTCATGGTACTCAAGTGCCTCATAAACATTTTTTCTCATTTCTCATTTCCAATAATGCCACTTTACACAATTCTAACAATGTGAATATAGTTTATTTCCACTTCATAGTGCTCTGGTAGAAAAAAGGAGTCTTATGGCCAGATCCTATCCTACCTATCAGGCATCTAAGTGTGATTCTGTTCTACCCTGTTTAAGTACCTGAAAATCCATGAATGCATCTGATTTTAAGAGACGTTGGCTGTAGCTGTGTTGGCCTAATAAAAGATATCACATTTATAGATAAAGAACCTTGTCTGATTTTTAACACACCATCACCTTATTCTTAAGGCTGAGTCACAAAAAAGCCAGAGGAAAGAGGAGGACATGCCCACTTTTCCATAAACTGTTTTTCAGGGACTTGAGGGTGCAGAGGCATTGCACTTATATACCTAAGTCCACTTACACACTGAATAGGTACAGTAAGTTCTGGTCCTCAGGGAAAAAAATGAGAATGGGGCCCTAATGGATTTATTCTAACAATTTCTTAATGAAGTAGTGAAGTCTCTCTATGGAAGCTACAAACAGGAAAATCAGGTACAGCAAAATCAAATGATTTGCTCATCTGAGAGGAAGTCTATAGGAACTCAACTGAGATTTCATTAATCCTGGACAGGGATGGATCCAGGAGAGGGAGTGCACTGGTGAACTTACACCCTTTCTTCTCCACCCAAAACCAACTGCCTAGCAGTGGCAGCAATGCTTCTAGTCAGGCAGCATTGAGGGAGTCAATTGACTTCATGGCTCATTGAAATCTACCTGCTGGTAATCCCTTCTAAACTCTTCATTACACAGGAGTTAATTACTCTCTCTTCTTTTAAATGGCCTTGACATTCCACCAAGCAAGCTATTCTTTGTTCTGCAATTCTGAATGTTAGATGTTGGGTGCAGCAGGAATCAAAGAGGTATGCAGGTGGCTGTGCATGATAGAATGGCATGGGATTAGAAGAGTAATTCTCAACCAGGATGCCTTGAGATCCTTTCAAGGGTCTCACATGGTACCTCACAATGTCAGCCCTGTTGACATGATTAACAAGATAAACCAAGAGTTTTCAAACAGAAATCCATAAGGTTAAAACATTCTGACCTGTCATGATCTCTCTGATTTATCTGCAACAGAAGTATTGCTCTTTTATTTTTCTGTAGTAAAAAAAAGAGTGAAAACTAAGAACTAGCATTTTCCACGTGGTGCCTCTAGTCTACTGAGCAATGCCTTGAATTTATTGAGGAGTGCCTCGAATCTAAAAAGTCTGAAAACATTTAGAACAGCTTTAGAGAAGTTATAAAGCTACAGAGCAACTAACATTCATTTGTGTTTGACTGAATAAGAAAACAGTATTTCAGTCTCAAGGATTGGATCACAGAACTGATATTACCCCCCATAACACAATACCCACCCTTGAGAAGATGTGAATAGTCAAGCCATGCTTTT